TTTATTTGACGCTTTAAGTTTTGATTTAATGTTTTGGATTGATTAAATTTGATGTTATGAAAATTTGAGTTTTATTAAAGTTTATTTAATATTTTCCGTTTTATGTATGATTATGAAATGATATTGGTAACACCTCAATATTTAAATCAATAAAATTTGGGGCGTTACAAATCCCCTTCTTTTGAAAACCATTTATCCTTTTCTATTTTGGCACTTTCCTTAAATGATAACTTTGTATTTCAGTCGAACAATGTACTCAATTTACAACTCCATATTTGATCACTTGCTGGAATGCGGCATATGACCTACTCTCGCCCAGTATCACATTGTTGCAACTGTGATCTGAGTAATGCGTTAGGCCAGACCAAGAGATTATTTGAGCTGGAGAGAGTATTTTTTTAGCATGTGGTGGGGCATCTTTAATTGTTTGAATAGAATTAATTTCTTTTGCCACTTCATTTCTCTTTTGAATTTATTCATGTATTTTGGTTTCTTCAACTTGGCTTTATGAATTTAAACGAAGATTTTTGTGGGGGTAATTTGTTGGAAATTATGTGGCTAGCTGCCTATCTTTTTTCCCACAGAGTACAATAATTGTTTTTTCAGGAATTTACATGGTATTACTTTTTGACATTTTAAAATATTCTAACTGGTGTAATGGAGTATAAAATGTGACTAGGAGTATATAAAAGTAATTCATGTTACCATATATGACCCAATTAGGTTCTGTAGCTTCTTGTGAAGTGAAAATCTATTACATGTGTCATCATGTCTCTAGTAGTTCTATTTTTTCTTCTGTATTGATGGTAATTGATCATAACAAGGCTTCTACCCTTATGGTAGGATCTTTCACAGCCCAAATTAGAAGCTACTCCACCAGATGGCCTGTTGGCTGTGACTCTGTTGAGACACCAGGTATGGAATTTTTTACAGGTCTGTCTTTCGGACAAAAACAGTTCGATGTATTTGTGCTGTTTCTATAGCACGTAGTGGTTCTTTGGTTGAGGAAGTTGTCATAAGAGAATTAATTTTCCCTTTTCTTTTTATAGCCTATAAAATCCCTTTACATTTCCATATTATGCGGTAGAGCTTGTCTTTTCTTCCTTCCGGATTATGAATGTTGACATTTTCTAAAAAACGGTTGCCTTTGTATCAGCTTTGACCAGATGCAGTTTTTGATTTCTTGGGGACTGTCACATGGGAAGGATTAGTATATTTTTAAAGATATGGAATAAGAAATACACAGGTTGTTTGCATGTTTCTTGATATCAAGTGTTGTTTCCTTTGAATTTATACGTGTTTTCAACACCTTCCAATGGTAATTGCATTTCTGGACAGCGAATTGCTTTATCATGGATGGTCAACAAGGAGACAGGCCTGTCATGCTGTTCTGGTGGGTTCTAGTGATGATCAGGTTGGCTTATGTGTGTTATTCTTTAAGGTCGTAATTCCCAATCATTGCCACGTGATGATCTTTTTATCTCGGATTTTGTGCTACTATTTTGGCAGGGACTTGGGAAGACAATATCAACAATTGCACTTATACTGAAGGAAAGGTCTCCAGCTTCTAAAGCATCTAAGGCGAACAAAGAACAATGCAAGACTGAGACATTTAATCTGGATGAAGAGGATGGAGCGCCTGAGATCCATCAACTAAAGCAAGAAGCCAAAGTTGATGGATGCCCCCACCATTGGTGGCAAGACATATATGCAAGCAAAGGGTAGGCCACCTGCCGGAACACTTATAATATATCCGACAAGTGTTCTTTGGCAGTAGTATGATGAGTTGCGCAATAAAGTAACAAAGGAAGCTGATCTCTCAGTTCTACTCTACCATGGAAGCAACTGTACAAAGGATCCTCTTGAGCTGGCTAAGTACGACGTGCTTACGACATGTTCAATTGTGAGCATGGAGGTGCCGAAGCAACCTCTTGTTAATGAAGATGAAATTGAATCCGAATCTACATTTTATGGTAGAAAAAGGAAATACGCTGAAACTAAAAAATCCTCAAAGAGTAGGAAGGGTAAGAAAGGAATTGACAATGAATTACTTGAAACTATATCTGGCCCCGTTGCCAAGGTTGGATGGTTTCGGGTTGTACTCGATGAGGCTCAAAGCATTAAGAATCATAGAAAACAGCTAGGGCTTGTTGGAGACTTCGTGCTAAACGTGCTTATCAGGGACACCTATCCAGAATGCAATTGACGAGCTCTATAGCTACTTCAGATTTCTCAGATATGACCCACACGACGTGTTTCAGTTCTTTTGCTCTCCGATAAAGGTGCCAATTCACAGTAACTCAAAGGTTTGGTACAAAAAGCTACAAGCAGTGCTAAAGACTATAATGTTGCGTCGAACCAAAGGTGAGAAATATGGTTTTGCTTTCTCTATCAGCAATGAATACTGGCGTGTTTATTGCAAGATTTGATTTATACAAGGGTAATTTTTTGTTTTAATGTGTATGTTAATAAGTTAAATACACATTTAGAATTGGTCTCTGGAGAGTGCTCTGCTTGGAATATTTAGAGTAGACTTGCTGAAAAATAACTATATCTCAATAGCTAGTGCTCCCTTACCGCTTTCTGTATCACTTTAGCACTCTTTATACGACTGCATATTAAACTGTAGGAGCATCCTGCAGGAGGTTAATGATATTTTTGTGGAATTGTTTCATCTAGGTACTCTTATTGATGGAGAACCAATCATCAACACCCCCACCCCCCAACAATAGAATTGAAAAAAGTGGATTTTTTAGAGGAGCGATGTTTCTATTGCAATCTTGAGGCGAATTCACGTGTTCAATTAGCAGTATGTTTTTTTTGATAACCGTGGATGTCAGGGTCAGTTTGCGTGCACTTCGACTAATCTCACGGGCCCTGAAGTTTATGGTCAAGTACTTATCTCAGTAGCCCTGAGGGGATTCGAACTGGTGACCACTGGGGAGTAAATCCAAGGCCTGACCAATTGAACAACTCCTCAAGGTTAATTAGCAGTATGTTTAAAATATAAGGCAATATTGCGTGCAAATGTTTTGGTTGATCTGCTATTCCTATTGTTTAACATCTCTTGTTGTATACCAGGAATATTGTGGAACTGTGAAACAAAATTATGTCAACATATTATTGATGCTTTTGTGGCTTCGACAAGCTTGTGACCACCCTCTTCTAGTTAGTGGGTTCAGTAATAATTCAAAAATGACTGCCTGCAGTGAGATGGCCAAGAAACTTCCTCATGAGAAACAAGTTTGCCTTCTGAATTGTTTGGAAGCCTCTTTGGCAATTTGTGGAATGTGCAGTTTAAGTGCTTATTTAGAGATTGTCCTCAAAAACGCTTTTTTGATATTTAACATGTCTCCCTTGTTAAGGTGTTGCTGTGGGTTGTGTTTCCATTAGTTCTAACGCTCGTTCCTCAACGAATAACATCATTCTTCTAGTCATTAATGCTGCCTCTCTCCCTCCCTTGGCATTTCAATCCCTTTTTCTTTGGGGTTGGGGGGTCGTCCCATGGGTTACATAAACCATGGGTGATGCATCTGATCTAGTCTGACTTCTAATTATCTGTAGATTATTGAGGTTTTGCCATGATAGATTTATATAGTGGGTTTATTACTGCTTAGATTGTGAATAAGTTATGCCTGTTCGTCGCAAGGAGCAATTTAGGTCTCAATCACATATCAGCATTTGCAACAGCAAAAATATGATTATGAATGGCCATAAGTATCAGCCATGACAACAAAGTGTTGTGGGGGTTCTAGGTGTGTCTGTTTCTCTCTTTTAGTTCTTAGGAACTTGTAAGAATTTGAACTTATTCTCATTTTGAAACATTGCAGTCGAAGTTAAGAACAGAAGATACAAATCCTAAGATGCTGTCAGTCCTTCTGGGAAAAATACAGGCAAAATGTTTCGTGTAGTTCTGTACTTTTCTCTCCAGGAAGATACAGAGTACCCACTCATCTAATTCTTCTGCCTGGTTACTGGTTATTTCCTTTAGATTACAATGATTTAATGTGCTTCTTAATGCTTGTTATTTTGTTTAAGCATTTTGACTGGTATATAATTATGGTGGCGTAATAGTTGTCCATTTTGCCATTTATTGATCCTTTTTAATTGTTATATATTTTGGGAGCCGCTCTGTAAAAATTTTGCTTTTACAATTTTAATTCTCTATTTCTGTCCAGAGAACTCTCAGTATCCACTATTATCTCTTTCTTCACATATTTTTGCTAATAAATTGCAGGATCCACCGGAAGATGCTGTTGTAACAGTCTGTGGACATGTTTTTTGGAATCAGTGCATAAGTGGGAATTTAACAGGTGATGATACTCAGTGTCCCACCAAGAGTTGCAAAACTCGTCTTGATATATCGTCTGTGTTTTCTGTAACAACACTACGGATTGCTCTATCTGTTGATGGGTTAAGTAAGGCTAACGTCAATGGTTCTTGTTCAGAAGAAGTTCAGGTTGAGATGTCCATATGATTCCTTAAAAATTAATGCTGCTCTTGAGGTCCTGCTATCCTTGTCTAAACCTCAGGATTGTGCCTCAAGAACAAGTTCCTCAGAATCCTCAGTTGAAGCTTCTCGTTCAGAAAATTTGCCTGGGAAAGCTAATGAAAATCTAGACTGGAGTGGATGTTCAAACACTTGGGTTAAGGTAGTGGGAGAGAGTGCTATTGTTTTCTCACAATGGACAAGGATGTTGGATTTGCTTGAATCTTGTTTGAAGGACTCTACCATTTAATACAGGAGACTTGTTGGAACAATGTCTGTTGGTGCCAGAGACAAAGCCGTGAAAGAATTCAATACCATTCCCGATGTTTGTTGGATTATTTGTCTCTTGTATAAGCAACTCGTTATTTGTATTTCATAGGACTAAACTCTGGAATTTTATACTAGGTTACTGTTATGATAATGTCTCTGAAAGCTGCAAGCCTTGGACTGAACATGGTCGCTGCTTGTCACGTCCTCCTTTTGGACCTGTGGTGGAACCCAACTACTGAAGATCAAGCCATTGACCGAGCACACTGAATTGGGCATAGACATCCTGTTTCAGTTTTGCGGCTGGCAGTGAAAGATACAGTAGAAGATTGAACTTTGGCTCTTTAGGTACTTTTTCGTAATTTTGTTTAAATTTGTCTCTTTTTGGGTTTCTGATATGGAATCACCATCATGGTATTTAGCCTATATTTGGCTAATAAACCGTTTATAAATGATCGAATCGTTTTTTATTCATACATTTTGTTAGACTCACAAATACTGCTCACTTATCCACCACTTATTTTTGACAACACTTTCAATACAAGATTTAGACCTCTCTTCCTTCCCCTTCCGAAACGGAAAAAAAAAAAAAGAAAAGGAAATCGGCAGTTAAATATGGACGAAAACTGAAGTGAAAGCACTGAACATTTGACATCATATATGGTACTCAGTCTTCGTTTGATGTGTTATAACACAATTTTTTTGGCATTTTCAGCAAAAGAAGAGAATTATGGTTTCATCTGCATTTGGAGAGGATGAGACAGGTAGCCGTCAAACACGGCTAACTGTGGATGACCTGAAGTATCTATTCATGGTTAATTAACACTTTCTTTTCAGGATTCAGCCTAGTACTTCATTTCTATATATTCTTCATTAGCGAACCACAGCAGCAGCATTTTTGTTTTTTGTTGAAGCTTTAAAATAGATTCACAGAATTAGCAAAGATTATATGGCCTTAGTTCACAGCATGATCTCATAGATTACCGTCGGACGAAGAAATTGTATGCTTTTATTTTTTGAACAAGGGATTTTCTTTTTCACATTGCATAGCGGATGCAGTTCTATATATTTGCACGGTCAAAAAGATAGAAGTCTTCGAGGAATACTGGAAATTCTTTTGATTGTATTTCTTATGTGAATGATATAAACTTGACCTCATTGGCGCATGTTTAATATTCAATAATTAGCTTATTTTATGTTAAGTACCGGTGAGTTGTCATATAAATTTATTCGCGAGTTTTAAATTTAATTCCAATGTTGAGGCCTGCAATAAGTTTATCAACCAGTTGAATTTATTTGACAAGTTATCGGTGTTTAATATAAGATGAGCATCAATTCTCATTAGATCATTCCCGATTTATCGTATTGAATATTGGATAGTACAACAAATAAAATTATAGTGCATTTTCTTGTTTATTTGATGTCTTTCTTGTATTATTGGGTTTGGTACTCGATTACCATTCACAACTTTTTTCGTACCAATGAGGTGGTCGAACATTCGTGGGCCTCATGTAATGGAAAAAATAATAAATGAAACAATTATGTAATTGCCAAGATCTTCCCATTGCTCAATGGTGCCTTTTATTTTATTAAAGAAATGCAGTATTCTAGAGTGACGTTAATGTGATCTCAGTCACCATTAACAACAATTAAAACCCTGGAAGCAAAGGTCAAAAACGAGTTTAAAACATGCCGTAATAAATAAAGAAATGTCACAAAATCATTACGATTACGAGGCAGTATCGAATCACTCATTTAAAATTTTAAACTGTTAAAGAGATGAAGAATTCATTTATTTTTATTTTATAGTCAAAACACTCTTTCACGTGCTCATCAAATTTATTTCCAGATAAAAAGTGCTTTAAATTAGTGCAGAGGTACTATATTATATTATTTCATTTAGAAAAAAATTATTTATTATTACTTTATCTTGTGCTTCATCTTGTTCATAATGCTTAGTGGGTGGGAGTGTAATCACATCTCTTTATGCTCCGCATTTTCTAATCAAGGTCTTTAGAAACTCATTGAAGTGGTGGGTTGATGATTTGTTTGAATTGGTTTATAAAGTTCACTTATAATTAAATGAGAAAATTTTAAATTTGTAATGTCCATTATTTGTGAAAGTTTGATTAATGATATGTTGCTTTTCCTGACATTAAACATAAGAATTTCTTTAAGTATTAGTAACTTTTTTTTAATTTTTTTTTTAAAAAAGACAACTTAACATATTTAGAAATAAAAAGTAACTTCTACTTTTTTAAAAACCAATCAAAATGCATATAGTAAGTGCTTTATCTCCCCATTAGATTAGACCAATTTTTTTTTGTCTACATGTTGGGAAGTTGGCTATTGTTAAAAGAAACATTTAGTGTTAAGAAAAATTCAAGCATCTCATTGAGTAAAGGCACCATTTGGAAGCTCATTTGTATTGAAATTAGATTAAAGATAAGATGAAGGCCTGTGGCACTTCCTGTTAGATTTGCACTTTTTTCTATTCAAATTTGCTTTTTTTCTAAGCCACTGCTAATGGTTGACTCAAAGGGGAAAAGGGATTATAATCGGATAAGTTTTTCTGATGTGTCTCACATCTTTTTTTTATTCCTTTTGGATAGAAGCATCTATTTCTCTTTCCTATAAACGTAATCTTGTTTTCTTTTCTTTGAATAATAAATAAAGTTTTGTAAGGGAGAACCATTGGCCAAGGACTCATTAATAAAAGAAAAGGGAAGGTCTTGATTTCGAGATTGAGGTGAAAAAAATATTTGAATATTTCGAGAATCAGAACCATGTAAACTCAAGGATAAAAGCTCATAGCTAGCTAGAGTCACTCACAGACACACATTTGAGTTCACATGTGTATATTAGGTACTCCTGTTATGAATTGGATGCATGGGATGCCTATTGCTGGAACTTTTTGCCTTTTCCATATCATATATTGGTCATGTGTGTGTATATATATATGATAAGTTAGATTAGAGAAAAGTAAATAGTTTTAAGCAACAAAGCTATGAGATAAAGTTTGTCGTATTCTTTTTAAGTATTATTAGGTTCATCGTCCTAGAGATAGTGTTGCAGTACACTGTTGATAGTATTTGTTTTTTGAGTTGGAAGTAAATGAATAACAGACATGTTTGTTTTGCAGTACTATATATATGTACATTTTACCAAACAACTAGTTCTCCCGATGATGTTTTATGGAAGAGAGAGAGTCTAAAAATATACTGATATCCCAATTAGATTTTATCACAAACATTTGCTCTTGTTACTTGTTAGGAAGGTTCTAGTTATGGCATCTCCCATCTTTTCAAGGATATCTAGTCTTTTATCTCTATTTTTTCTTGTCTATATGTTCTGTAAGATATGTTTGATATGTTAAATTAGATATGATTGAATGAGACTAATTTACTAATCGATCTAATATCTCAAACATAAAGTTGCACAAAACTTGTTATAAGAGAGATTAAATATGCGAAATAACATATATGTTTGTTAAATTTAAAAGATTAATTTAGCCATTTTTCATTAGTATATATAAGCCTATAGGTCCCATGTTGTTCCTAGTGACCAAATGCCCATAAACAATAATATAATAACTTGTTAATTATGATGAAACTGTTATTCATGTATATGGACATTCTATAATAAAAATATGTTTAGTAAGTGGACTACATGGGTCAATATTATATAAGTAAAAGAAAGTTAAAAATTTGATACATTTTTTCAATATAATTACCAAACATGCTCTAGGGATGGTACTATCTGTATTGGTCTTGTATTTTTTTTCGTTTCTATTCTTTTTTTGGAGGTCTAGCTTTACATTCCCTTCAAAATAGTCTTATATTAGATTTATGGATGATTTTTTGCATGTCATACATGATTTCCTCCACATTATTCAACTAAACAAAGTTGGAATCCAAGTCATGGTGCACCCAAGTTGGTTGCCATTGATTAGTTTGGCACACGATAAAAAAGTCAAAACCTATAAGGTTCGCCACAAAAACTTTTCTTTCTTCTCTATAATAATGACATTCCAATGCAAAACCAATCTTTTTTCATGTCTACATATTAAAAATGTATTGAGATGTTCAAAAATCTCATTCATCATGTTTCTTCGAGTGAAAGTCGGATTCAATTCTTTTTTCATCAAAACCTAATTACAAGTGCCAATATTTCATAAAAGGTGATAACATGACTTTGGTTTACAGCCCCCGTTTGGACCGCCTTTTTATTTTATTAAAATGAAAAATATGATCGTTGTCTATCACATCAATATTTAAATTCAAATTTTTTATATCTTGTGTGAACCCCAATAATTAACAACTATATTTTTCATTCTCATTCTACAATAAGGTGGCTCAAACAAGCCACAATATTTGTTTATTTTGATACTTTATTTTATCACCTTGTTAAAACTAAACAACGTTGGTATGGAATATATACCATACTGTTGTACATGTTGCACAATGTTCTTTTCAAATCTATTTTGTTATAGGGCTTGTCACAATATATAACCTGATGTCACAGCATAATTTGTACTTGGTGGCGTCATAGTCCAACAAGAAGGATATTGTAAAATGTGGCATTAAATGATTGTTCCCTTCTTTTGTGGGTACATATGCAAAGTGACCAAATCATCTAATTTGTTCCTCATAAAGTATATGCTCAAACTATAGTGACATTTATATTGCAAAATTGTAATATCAATTATGTCAAGAAACAAATAATCTAAATTTATTTTTTAGCATCACTTAATTATCAAGTTTTTGACATAATCTTTCTTTTTCAAAAGAGATCAAAGGATTTTACCAAGGTCTATGTAAAAAGCTTTGGAATCTCAAAACACTTTTCGAATTCATGAGTTGTGATGTAATCCGAATTCGCTAGAAAGTGAGCTTTTCTTTTCTCTCTCTCTTTTTTTTTTTTAAAAAAAATTTTGTGGGCTTTAATAAAAGATTTAGTTATGGTCAATTTCATCCTTTTCTTTATCTAAGGTTAGGGTTTTCATCATGGGAATTTTATTATTCAAACTAAAGTTAGGACTTTGCCATTTTCTAGTTATTTATTGAATAAAATTTCAGATCTTCGAAATTTTCAATTCCAATATCTGTGTTATTCAGAAGCGACTAATTAATTAATCAAAATATTTTCACTTCGAAACAAGAAATCTTTGTTTCGATAATTTTTTGGCATTCCATTGATTTCATGAGCTTTGATCTTGTGATCATCATTATCCAAAAAAAAAAAAAACAAAAGGTTAGGTAACATAGAAGGATGGCCTATCTTAATTTTAACTTTGCATATCAATCTAGGGTCACAAGAGTTTATGTCAATGTGAAAACATTATATTTATTCTTTGTAGGGATAATTTTACATATCAATCTAGGGTCACAAGAATTGATGTCAATGTGAAAACACATATTGATTCTTTGTAGGGATAATTGTAGCAAAAGTTCCAAACTTTTGAAACATTAGCAGACTTTTTCAAATCTTTCAATCGTTGCAATTGTCGTCCCTAGCCTTTCTAACCGTTACATGTAAGGCCCTTTTGGACGGTTTCCATCCAAGAAGTCGTTGGGGAAAGAGATTTAATTTGGGGTGCGAGCTTCACCAGTCATTGTTTCTCAACTGCAAATACGAACCATCATTACCACTAATCGCCGTCATTGATTTATGATTGGACAACAGTGGTGACGTTTTGAGGGTGATTTGGTGAAAAGAGAAAGGGTGGTTTGAGGTAGTGGTGGCCGGTGGTGGTGTAGCCAATTTTATGATTTTAGGAGAGGGTTGGGGATGGGGATGGGGTGGGAGGAAGAAGAAGAAGAAGATACAAATTTTCCCTTTTACTTTTTGATGCGATGAATATAAGATTACTATTTTACTCTTTTGAAAGTATAAAAGAAGTGGTCCATTTCAATTTTGGTGGTTAACTGATGGCTTCTTGGATGGAAACCATCTAAAAGGACCTTACATGAAACGATTGGGAATGTTAGGGACGATTGCAGAACCACCATCGTATGAACTTTGAAGTACGATTCATTCCTTATTGTCCAATTCCGTTAGTTTAGCCATTACAAATAGTAAAAATGTCAAAATTGAAAAGGAATAATTGCAGTTGTGATCCCAAACCTTTTATTTTTTTGATATATTAAACTTAAATTTTTTATATGTGTCAACCACAATTTCAAACGTTTAAAATTTTATTTTTCTTCCCCAATTTAAAGGATTAAGTTGTAATTTTATATTATTACATATAAAATAATTAAAATGAAAAATAAAATACAAAAATCCCCACTCTTGATAAGGGCCTTTTTATACGTTTATTTCGGTTCACAACCATGAATAATTGTTGATAAATGTTTGGAATAGAGATTAATTTGTGTAATTTGTGTTTGTAGTACAATAATGAAGATTGTGGTGGAAATTTGAGGAAAAATTGAGAAAATTGGCTAAAAATGAGGAAAACGAAAGTTCAGGGATCAAAATGTAAATAATCAAAAGATAACCCGAGGCCAACTCAAGAGCGGACACGAGTTTAATCATAAATTTAGGAAGGCATGGGATGATTTGAGGAAAAGAATGAACCAAAGAGGTCAAGGCAAGAGAAAAATGAAGATGGAGGACCAAAATGAAGATTTTGAAAGTTAATTGTACCATGCAGGTACATGGTGTAATTAACCATGCAGCCGTAAGCATGGTTTCAGGAAAAAAAGTGGAAAAATATTTGTTCCATGCTGCTGCATGGAAATTAACCATGCGGCTGCAAGAAAGGTTTCCGGCTCGAAAATTTTAGTTTTCTTATTTTGTTCCAACTCTTATGGAAACCAATCTTTTGGCAACTATATAAACTCTTAAGCCGTCCTCAAACCCTAAGCAGATATGAAAGGATATTTTTGAAGGTTTTCAGAGAGAAAAAGAGGCACAAACAAGAAGAATAACATCACGACGCGAAGATTCAATTTAAAATTATTCGGGGTGATGTCATTCTTTATCTATTTTTCTGATTTTCTTTCTTTCCTCCATGCTAGGCTAGACTTATATGTGTTAGGTGAATGATGAACCTTATGATTTGATATTTTAATTCCTAATTTTACTTTGTTGACATTAAAACGCGTTTTGAATTATTGAATGATTTATATATATCGCTTTTTCTCTACAATTATATGCGCAATAGTTGTATGAGTGTGGTGGCCTATTTTTGGCATTCGAAAGAAGAGGAATAGATTCGACAAGGTATAAATCATTGGAGGGTCTGATGGGGGATATGAATATACCGCTATACTCTATGTGAATCTCTAAGCGTTTACAAAACGTCGTGCATTCTTGTATATTGTATTTGTCATAGAAATATAGTCAAATGGTATGCGAAAATAAGATCAATTCTACTCGAGAGAGATTATTGAATATGTTAGAAATATTGATTCTTCATCAATTCAAACATGTTGTCAATTTTGTAGAACTAGAATTAAAATGGATCATTGCATGGGGATTTACGAACCTAGCGCGTTTCTTTTCTATGAGTTGCCTCAATTTGCATTCAATCATATAATTTGCATTTAGTTCAACTAATTCATCCGCTATTGCTATCATTTAGTTTAGCTACAATTTGTTACTAAAATCAATCATATTTCACATTTCGGTTAAGGTCAGAATAGGTAAATTCGAACTAGTAAATTTCTGTGGAAACGATACTTGGACTCTAAAATCCATTTTATTACTTGAACAATCCGTACACTTAGCACCTCTTTCATCATTCTTCGAAGCAGCGTAGTTGCCACAATGATGGTAGCTCACGACGGAGGAGGAAAAGTCGCAATGATGATGGGAGTGCACGGCCGAGGAAGAAAGCTCGACAGTAGGGAAAGCGGCCCAAGACATATCAACTCCATGTAAGGAGTGCAAATAAGTTACCTTCTGAAGGGCTATGGTCTTTGTTTATCGGTAGACTTGATCTCACATTGGATCTCGTCAATGGACTTGATAATGAACGCTGCTTCACCGTCAACTAGACTCAGGTGGAGACCCTTGATTAGATCGTTTAAAGAATGCTGAAAAAGGGAGTCCATTAATGAAGGACCTGCCATTCATTTACCAAAAGTCCAAGCTATTTCCAAATAGAGCTTTGTTACATGGACAGGGCCACATTTGTCCATTCAGGGGGCGATGTGGCACCCCATATTAGTTGGGTGTCTGTAGCAAACTCAAGATTGAAAGTTATTTGGTAGAATCATTCTTCTTGGACTGGGCCACATAGGCCCCGTCCATCCAGGGGTGAAGTGGCGTCCCCCTATTGGTCGGGTGTCTACGTCGAATTTACTATTTCTACAATAATTACAGTTCCGATTAATGGCTATAAGAGAAGAAGTGGTTGTTTACAGTTTGTAAATGGGGTTGTTGTTGGTAGTGGTGATGAGGTGGTGCAGCCTTCAGTTGGTGCCGGATGTGGTGTGGGAGGGGGAGGCGGAGGGGGAGGATTTTAGGAATGTTGAGAAAGAAGAAGGGTGTGGTGGGGATTTTTGTTGTTGGGTTTTTTTTTTTTTAATTATTTTATATGGAGTAATATAAATTTTGTTCTTTAAAATCTTATAAGAAAATAAAATTTTAAAGGGAGATTGTGGGCGACACATATAAAAAATTTAAGTATAATTTGTAATAAAAAAAAAAAATTTTGGAATCACAGCTACAATTGTTCCTTTTCAATTTTGACAAACTTTACTATTTTTAACGGCTAGACTAACGGAATTGGACGATAGAACGATAAATCGCACTTTAAAGTTTGTACAGTCCCTTTTTTGCCCTTCAAATGTTGTATACCGCACTCAAGATTTCAAATATGACGTTTTCTACTATTTTCAATAGACATGAGGTATATCGCTCATCGTTAAAAGGAGAATTTTATGTTATTAAGCCTAAAATCTTTTACGAAGGTTTAGAGGCATAAACTCATCATGACGTCTAGACTAGAAACCATAGCCATTTCAGGCTCGGGTCTTCAGGTCTCGAGTCATGTGGGCCATTTTTCTTTTCCCCCTAAAAGAAGATAAAACAAATGGTCTAATGGGCAGTCTACACTAGATCACCTAAAAGACGGGTTATTGTAACCTCGAAAATTCATTTTTCTTTTGAAATCGCAAAAATTAATTTCCTTCGTCAAGATCGATCAAGACGCAATTAACAATAAAGTTTAAGAAGTCACCAATTCATGTAAAGATTCAAAGTAGAAAAAAGTGTCCGACAATAATTTTAAGAGTGTGTTTGAGCCCTATTTTTTAAAGGAATAAGTTTTGTAATAGTGATTTTTTAAAAATTCGTGATTAAAAAGTAGAAAAAAAAGTTTTTTGTTTACGTTTAAAAATATTTTATTGAAAAAAGTATGATTGAAAATGAGTTCGAATTTTTTTTTTTTATATAATGGTCTCAAACAAGAGCTAAATCTCCATCAACGTAAGCCTTTTAACACATCTTATCGAGACATGTTATACTCGAGCCCACTGACTTATTATAAAGAAGGATTTACTTTTAAGTTGATTCTCCTTGAACAATGATATTTATCATTATGATATTTAACTTTTATATAATGACATTCCATGTAAATTATCATATCATCGATACTCTATCATTATAATGATAAATAATATTATTCTTTATTTGAACGTCAACTTTGATTTTTGAAAACTGTTTTTTCATATGACCTTTTATTCTGTCTCCACATTTCCCTGTCGTTCAGTCCTTGAATTGCCTCCCGAATTGTAAGCCATAGCGCCACGTAAGACACCTCAATTCTTCAATAAAGACAATTTCTCCACAACCATATATACATGCATGCATCTTCATGTATTTCACAAAAAAAAAAATCAGTTCAGTTCAGTCTAGTCTAGTCCCTGCAGTTTCTCAATGGCTCTTGTAATTAAAATCGTGTTTTTGATATTCCAAATTATGATTTTCTTAGTAGGTTTTGAGCCAGTTGCAGATGCCAGACGCAGACAGGACGAGAAAAAATATAGTTTTGGAGATGCTAAGGATCTTGTGACCGATCTGCCGGGTCAACCCCAAGTAAAATTTCAGCATTATGCTGGTTATGTCACTGTAAATGAAAAGAATGGAAGGGCACTCTTTTACTGGTTTTATGAAGCCACAACTCTTCCAGATGAAAAACCTTTAGTGCTATGGCTCAATGGAGGTAAGAAAACACACATATATGAAATACTTATTTCCATCTTTTAGGGGCATACGGAGGAAAAAATACGTTATCTGTTGATTTAAGATTTGTTTTCATGAACTTAATATCTACACACATCCATTATCATCTCTTCTTAGTAAATAATAAGATGCCAAGATGTCAAGAATACGTCGGTGTCTTGCGTAAGAAGAGATGATGTGTCGATGTAATAAAAATATATTGGGAAGGTTAACATCGATGCAACAAATATGAGCAATTCAAGGTTATTATGATAGAGTTTTCCAAGTAAATCGTTTCATTGAACTTTACGTTTGTGGAGTACTTAATACATCTAGAGCATGTCATGGCCCTAAAAATGTCTTAAAACAATAGTAGTCATAATGACCTTCATTGTGTTGGATCTTCGATTCCATCTTAAAACATGAACCTTATGAAGTAGATACAAGGAGTAGCTCCTTTGAGTTTGTTAAGTTCTGATATCGTATTGAATATTTTGGAGTTTCATTTTAAAAAGATTAATTTTATTAAGAGAACCGTTTTATGTTAGTTATTTATTTATTATTTAATTTATAATTATTGTGAGATTGATCCTTAACACATTGAATTCGACTAAACTTCATATTTTTCAAAATATTTAAAACATCTAGAGCACGTCATTGCCTTGAAAGTTATCGTCTCTTGCTAGCTCCCAGGCAGTACCTTGGGCTAAACAATTATATATGTTTTACATAGCACTAAATATAACAAATGACAAACTTTTGTTATACAATTCTCTTCTTTAACCCCGTCCATTCATGTATGGTTGAGCATACTAGACATGGCGTAACTGTACTTCCACCTTATCACGGCCACACTGATTCCAGTAGCAACCTCTTTGACCTGCCTTTTTATCCATTCAACGGCGCACAAATTCTAGAGTGTCCTTCACCAACATATATTTTAAAGAAAGAAAGATTCCTTGTCAAACAGATCAAGTGATGCTTTAATATATAAACCTTATGAATAACTATTATGAAAACTGGATTATACTTTTTCCCATTTTTTTATTAGTTTTAACTTATAAGTGGATGCATTACATTACTTTTTTTTCTTTTCCAACTCACTGTAAGCATATTTTATACCCTAAGGGCCCAGTGCATTCATTTGGTGCTTTGATTCACTGTTATCCAGTGAGGTGACAAGATGCTGTTTGTTTCAGGCCCAGGTTGTTCTTCTGTGGGATATGGTGCAACACAAGAAATTGGTCCATTTCTTGTGGACACTGATGGACATGGCTTAAAATTTAATTCTTACTCATGGAACACAGGTTTATCATCTAACCAGCTTTTAAGATGAGACGATTCAATGTTACTAAGTTCAAATAGATAAATTTGTCCACGCGTGTTTAATCTTCCTTGAAGAACGTTGTATTGAAGTACCGTCTTTCTTGTGTAATGGTACAGAAGCCAACTTATTGTTCCTAGAATCTCCAGTTGGCGTTGGATTTTCATACTCGAACACAAGTGGTGATTATGATGTTCTCGAAGATAACTTTGCCGGTATGTCAAACATTAAGTTAACTCTTAAATGCAGCAACCCCTCAATCATGACTTTGTGAGGGCTAAAAGTGAAGTTCATGAAAATTGTGCACTTAGCAAACTTTTCATAAGAAATGAACTTCCCCGTGGGACATGTTGAAGACTAAATTTAGATAAATAAATGTACTCTCTATGTGCTTAAACTTTTATATGTTCATACTGCAGCCAATGATTCCTATGTTTTCCTGCACAAGTGGTTTCTCAAGTTCCCATCATACAGGATGAGGAAATTTTATATTGCCGGGGAGAGTTATGCAGGTACATTATCTGATGTGTTGAAGTCAGTTTTCTGATTGGTGGCAATTACTAGATTATTCAGGCTCATATATGTACGCTTGACGCTTTTCCGACAGGGAAATATGTTCCTGAGCTGGCTGAACTCATTCATGACAAGAACAAAGATCCCTCCTTATTCATAGATCTTAAAGGCATTATGGTATAATTCTGTTCCCATTTAATTTAAGGATTGAGTTCCAAGGTCACTGTCAAGACCCTAAAATTTTAAATGGAGAAAATGATCGCTGACGAAAGTTAAAATCTAACTGATTACTTTATTGCAGCTAGGCAATCCCGAAACATGTGACGCGGAGGATTGGAAAGGTATGGTGGATTATGCTTGGAGCCATGCTGTTGTTTCCGATGAAACCCACAAAACAATCAAAGAATCGTGTGACTTTTACAGCGATGATCCGTGGAGCAATAAAGATTGTTCTCAGGGCATGGACGAATATTATCGACAGTATAAAGAGATAGATATGTATAGTCTTTATACATCAGTGTGCATTCCATCTAGTGAAGGAAAGAAGTCATCTTTACTGACAGTCAGAAGCTCATCTAGCAAGGTAATGGGAGACATATTATTTAAACCTCATAATTTTTCAGTTTTCGACCTAAATTCTAATAAAAAATTGGGACAAACATGCTAGAAATTTCAGATTGGACTGGATATGTTAGCTGCAATTTTCCCATATGAATTGAATGTAAGATTAATTTTAAGAAAATGATTTTGTTTTTTAAGATGCCAAAGGTCCTGGGTGGTTATGATCCATGCATGGACGACTATGCAAGCTCTTATTATAATCGACGTGATGTTCAAAAGGCCCTTCACGTTGGTGATGGAACTACCCTCAGGAACTGGACCATATGCAAGTAGGTGATTTATCTAATTCTTATCGACATGCTTATGGGAACGGATTCACAAAGGCGACTTAATAATTAAGTTCAAATAATAATAATTAACTTAAATTTTTAGATGAATTATAATTCTCTGTTGTTGTTTTCGTTGTTGTTGTTTTTCCGTAACACTCATAGTCCGATGCAGTTTGACAGTCTATTATAACTGGACCTATTTAAGGACGTCGGTTCTTCCCATATACAAGAAGCTCATTGGAGCAGGACTTAGGATATGGGTTTACAGGTAGACAAATGCTTGCTTCTTAAGTCTTCTTTTTAACAATTTAAACTCATATCAGATAAAATGTCTGAACTCAATCTCGTCACCATCCATTTTGTGATATGGCTAGACCTTTAAAAGTTCGATCGTTACGTGAAACCTAAAGGAACCTCAACAAAAAATATTTAAATAAATTCGAACATTTTTTTTACTTAGTTGAATCTTATAATATATTTTATGGCAGTGGAGACACTGATGGTAGAGTTCCATTTATGTCCACAAGATACAGCTTAAGCTCCTTGGGACTGCCCATCACAATGGCCTGGCGACCTTGGTACCATCAGAAACAGGTATTTGTAATAGAAAGAGATGCTAACACCTTGGTGTACAACTTTAGATGGCATAAAACGTTGAGTGCTAAACGTTAGTTTGACTGATTGTGTTAATTTTAATATTTAATTAATGTGAAATAGCATTTCAAAAATGAAATGATTATAACCATAAAATAATGCTTTATATTTAATGTTATTGAATTTTATGGAAATTATTTTTTAATGTAACGTGTCGTGTATCCTTTGAACTAGGTTGGTGGTTGGATTCAAGAGTACGAAGGACTAACATTTGCAACGTTTAGAGGAGCAGGTCATGCCGTACCTATATTCAAAAGGAGTGAATCCTTGGCGTTCTTCTCATCCTTCCTTTCCGGGGACTCTCTACCTTACCAGCGGACTTAAATTCAGACTTATATATATAAAAAAATCTTGGAGAAATTAACCTTTTAAGTCTTATGGTTTTATATATATATTGTGTGATTGTTAAATGCGTCAGAGAAAAAAGTTAATAGAGCGAGATGGTTCTTGGTAAAAATATGTTGCCAATAAATAGAGGATAAGTACTAGAATTCCTATTATGAGTCTATTTCTACTGTTGTAACTTGTTTTTCCCTTTCCAGTTTATATGAGAGAGAGATTGATATTTAAATAGTTAAGTTTGTAATAAGCTCAAGACTGAATTAATGCAATGTACATGTCGTTATAGTTGGAGGGTTTATATGAGAGAAGGATTGAGATTTTTTAATAAAGCAGGTCGACTATCAATTAAATTTGAGGGGGAATTTCTGGTGTTAATAGACCGTAAAACTCCAAATTATTGGTTTTTTCTTGAGGCCCAACACGTAGGAGCTTTGAGTTCCATCTTAAAAAGTAAAGAGGAAATTACATGGTTTTAGGTCTTTGAAAATTGAAATTCAAAAATCAGAGACCAAATTTTATTATTCAAAAATTAGGTACTATATAAACTGTAACCCTAATTTATCACTCACTCACAACTCCCTCACATCTCTCTCTATCTCGCGTTCCTTTCCCCTCTCTCAGTAGATCTACCGCCGATCTCTCCCCAAAAATTATTCGAACCCTAAATAGAGATTCCCCAAGGTAGTGGCGGCGTGCAGGCGGTGGTGGTTGCGAAGGTGGTGGTCGTGCAGGCGATGGTTGAGTGACCGCCAAACTTTCCCCAATTTTTCGAACCCTAAATCGAGATTCCCCAAGGTAGTGGAGGCGTGCAGACGATGGTGACGGTCGCGAAGGTGGTGGTCGTGCAGGTGATGGTTGAGTTGACTGTGGGTTGGTGGTTTGTAGATGGTGGCGATCGCGAAGGTGCAGCGGCTGCGCAGTGCCCTACGGTGATCAAATGCCCAAATCAAACAAACCCTAGATGAGTTGTGTAGCGGAGATTGGTGTCGTCGGTAGCAATGTCATTTGGTGGTTGTGTTGTTTTCAGTTTCGGTAGCAGCGGTATTTGGTGGTTGTGTTGTTTTCAATTTGTAAATGATTGTGTTTTAATGGTGGTTGTCGTGGTGAGGGGGGATGGGGTTGGTGGTTGTTCAGTGGTGGTGGTGCGATGATATTCGTGCAGGTTGTTTGTTGGTGGCGAAGGGAGTGATGGTGGCTGTGGCGGTGATGACGGTGGTGGCGTCTCTCTTTTGGTGCGATCTAGGGCTGTGGTGTTTGACCAAGTATTTGGTTATCTGTAACCAAGTATTTAACTGTGACCTAAAAATTTTGACAATATACAACTAAAAAATAATATGTGACCAACAAATTTGAAAATATGTGACCAATGAAATTAACTGTGACTTGTAAATTTTTGAATTTGTGACCTCGAAATCATCCGTGACTAATTAATTTGATAATATGTGACCAATAAATAAATTGTGACCTATAATTATATATCTGTGACTATTAATTGTATAATTGTGACCTAATTAATAAATATTTTTAACTAATTATCTAATACGTGAATTTTGAATTTTCAAACTATATACTCGATTTTTGAATTGGTGTAAACTATACACCTGATTTATGATTTTTTTTTCCCAAATGTAAGTAGTGTCCAGAATAGTAATCCAAAGCTTTATATGTTGTTTGTTAGTTTAATAATTATCCCTTTAACATATCCTTAGAAGATTAATCTTATTAAGCCCCTATTTGGGCTCCATTAAAAATGTATGTATTTTGAAATAGTAATTTTTTGAAGAATGTGTGGCAAAAAAATAAGCAAATTTTTTGGATTTACATGTAAATTATTTTATTATAGAATGTGTGATTAAAAAATGAGAGGAAAGTGCATTTTTTCAGAATAGAGCCCAAACAGGAGCTAAGAGGGTTGTGTACTGTGTATCAAATTTAGAATTCCATTTTAAAATGTCAATCTTGCTAAGAAAAATAGCACAAACTAACATATTGATTTCATATTTAATCGATGTGGAATGTATCCTTAACATACATTGTACGATGGTAGCTTGTTTAAACACACCAATCTTGGAATCTCAATTCTTGTTTGAAGCTTTGATCTTGAGGGCATTGACAAACTCTTTGTCCTTCACTAGGAAAGGGAGAGTGGGCAAAGTACGACATGATCTGGTAATGACGTTGCGTATGATGTATATAAATTTAGGATGTGATTCATTCTTAAAATATCAACATTATAATAAAAGTAATCTAAGTATAAAAATACATTTAACAATATCGGATAAATTCGTGCCAAGAAAACATGTAAAATAGGAATAAAATAATAAAAGTAATCTAAGTATAAAAATACATTTAACAATATCAGATAAATTCGTGCCATGAAAACAGGTAAAATAGGAATAAAAATATTTCTTTTCAATTAAAAAATACCGAGAGATCTCTTATTATTCAACTTCAAAAATTTACCAAAAAATAACTTCTCATATTACAAATTTCCCCTCGAAAGGAAAAATTGAAAAATCAATTTAAGATCATAAAGATAATCTTTTAGAAGGAAACTAATGTTCGAAACATCTTTATGCATAATTTTCGAGTCCCAAAACCAATCTAAACACATTTGTAATGCATGCAATGTAGAACTTAGAGCTTCGAATATATTCAAATTGACCATGTTTTCGACATCAATCTCAAATTCTAGACAAACCCTAAACCTATTCACATTTTATAAAAACGTTATACGTCCAAATAGGCATGTTGTTGCAAGATGTTTTAAAACTGTTATAGCAAAATGAACTGATCTTCCTAACTAGTCTTCGTACTCAATATTGAGCTTTTAGATATTTTTCAATAACACTGCGCCCTTGTCCGGTAGAAATTAAAATTGAGATTTTAATATAAATCAAAATTATCGACTAATTTTAATCACACATTTTATGGGACCACGACTTTTTAACCACATATTTCATCAATTTTCATTAAAATATAGTAAAAATCTGATTTTAATATCAGCCAAACAGGGCCTATAACAAAATTGCAGCATCACTCCCACATTAGTCTTTTTAGGTATTAATATAAGTGCTCAAACATATATGTAAAAAACATTAGGTTTACTAAATTTTTTATCTGCACACTGAGCCTCCAATTCATGGTGTAATCTTACTTCACTGGAGTCAATAAACATATTCAGAAACCCTTGTCTGAATTTTGTCCCTCAGAAACCATTAAAACACACGTGTTTTTATCTTGTCCCTCAGAAACCATTAAAACACACGTGTTTTTATCATGGAACATTAAACAAAAGTAAATATATATTTTTTTATAATTTTAATTAGTTAGTGCTTAATTATTGTTTGATGTAACTTGGTGGATAGAGTATTTTTGGATAGGTTTATGTTCCCCATTTTCGTAACATGGTCTTTGGCAAGATATATCGAATTGGCATTTCTTGGTTTCACTCCTCAAAAGTTAAAAACAAGGAAATTTATTAGTTGTTCTTCATTTAATTTTTTACTTTTGGATGATTATATTCTTTTTTTTTTCTATATAATGAATTAAATACTTGCGGTATTGTTAATTGTTTTTAAGAATTGAAAGCTCACAATTAATTTCTAATGAAACATTTTGGAGTAAAGATAAAGATTATTAATGCCTCTATTACTTCCATTATTTTATTTGCACGTTTCCTTTAATTCTCTTGCTCCCCTCGATCGTACTTCTAAAAATAAGTTTATACATTTCCAAGCTACATTTTCTTAAAGTCAAGGAATCTTTTCATAGGCGTTTGCGTCGATGGATTACTAGAAATGAATGGGTACGGTTTGTGCCAAATATGTGTTACCTAGGCACGGGTGAATTTGGTGAGAAATTCTTCTATAAAAAGTTTAATATCATTGCTTGTAGAGCTTACTTGATTGTCACAATAAATAATTATTTATTTTTAATTTTGATTATTACTTACTTATAAGTAAGCTTAGGCGCCAAGCAGGCTTAGCTCTTAGCCCCTTTTCTTGACGGCGCACCCCGTTTTAATTTTATTTTCATTTTGTAAAAATCGCCAAAGAATAAAAATCGCTCATATTCAAGGATAAAGTTCTTTGAAGATTTTAGGTTATGCTTTTAAATGAAGTGATTTAACGTAATCAAAATATAATCAAGTATGCATTTTTGGTTCTCTACATATAAGATCTTGATAGGAAACGAAGTCCAGCCTACATGCACAGATGGGTACCTTGATAGATTTTGTACGGATTCGGTCATTGTATGCTAATCGTGCAAATATAATAAAGTATTATATCAGATTAATGGGTACTTTGAAGATGTTTCCCCCCTCATTATTCAACTCAATAAAGTTGGAAATCCAAGTCACGATTCACAACCATGTTGGTTTTTGCCATAAATAATTTTGATTTTAGGTTGGTTCTCCACAAACACCTCTCTTTCTTCCCTTTTATGATGAGATTCTAAAGAAAATAACACAAATATTTTTATCTGCATATTGAATGCACTATCAATTTGGAATATTGTTTTTTCATTTGTCGCTTTTGTGACATGAAAAGTACCCAATGGAAATATGGTCGATTATTTGAACTATCCCATTTAAAAATTCAAACATCGTATTTCATTCAGTTTTTTAACCTATATCAATAAATTAATTTTTTGAGTATTAAAAAATAAAGAAATCCTTATTTCAAATTTAATTCTTAATGTATTGTCAAGTAACTTATCTCAAAAAGAAATATTGAAAATTAAAAATTACATATTTTCTTGTAAGTAAACTGTTTAACCATAACTGCACATGCTTTAATTTGATTGTGCTACATTTACATCACAGTTTAAAAATTTGATGACCAACAGATTATGTTACTGAATCAAAATCTCACCAATCAAATAATAAAATAAAATTCTTCAGGTAAAAGAATATGTAAAATTGTGATGGACAATAATCATTTTTCGCTTTAAGTTATTAAAAACGAAATTTATTTATT